CTTACAATAGCCAAGTGTCCTTCAACAGGTGAATGGATAAACAAAACGTGGTATATACACACAATGGATTATTATTCAGCCATAAAAAGGAATGAAGTTCTGATACATGCTATAACATGGATGAATCTTTAAAACATGCTAAGTGAAATAAGCCAGAAACAAAAGGACAAATACTGTATGCTCCCAGTTATACAAAATATCTAAATAGGCAAATTCATAGAGAAAAAAAGTAGATGTGACAAGGGGCTAGGGAGGGGAACCTGGGAGTTATTGCTTAATGGTTACAAAATTTCTGACTAGGTTGATGAAAAGTTTTGGAAATACAGTTGACCCTTGAACGAAGCAGGGGTAGGGATGCTGACCCCCTTGTAGTAAAAAATCCTCATATAACTTTGGACTCCCCAAAAAACTTAACTGTGTAGATGGTGATGGTTGAACATTATGAATGTAATTAATACAACTAAATTGTACACTTAAAAGTAGTTAAAAATGACAAATTTTGTTACATATATTTTACCACAATTTAAACGCCAATAACATAACATACCAAAACTCTTAAATTGTACACTTTACGTGGTTTAATTGTATGGTATGGGAATTATATCTCAATAAAGCTGTTAAAAGTATACTTTAATTTTATGTCAAAATAGTGACATACTCATATACTCAGAAAATGATTCCAAGTGATCTTAGTATGACAGTATTGACACTACATCCTCCTTAACAGGGCATATTCTAAAACTAAAAAAACTACACTCAATCTTAAACTTCATTCAGTATTAACACCTTCCAAAACAGGTCAAGAAAATCAGGGATACTTTTAAAAAACATAGAAAGAACTATACCAGAATTGAGTACACAGAGTCTTCCCCCTGCCACAAATTCATAAATTTAAAAGATATGAAGACGTTTATAACAATAGTACAAAACAGTCAAGATGGCATTAAAAGAAAAAGCTTTCTTCCCCCACCCTTTGAATGAATAGATTCCCACAAGATACGTCAACACATAACAGAAAAATCAATTCCATTACTTCTTTTGTTTCCAGCTATCTCATTAAAGAGGACTATCTTAAGATAAACAATTATTAAAAACTAATATATAGAACCATAAAATTTGGGGGAAACTTGATAATCTTCTGTCGCCAATCTGCTTATTTTACAAAGGAACTGAAGCCCAGGGGTTAAGTGCCTTGCATAAGAATATACGGCTAGGAAGGGACAGAGACAATGCTATTCAGCAGGATAATCCATGATTCAGTCAGTGTACTTCTTTCCATGACACCTTATGTAATCAAATGCCTGAATTAACTTAAGCTGCTAAGTATCAAGAATTCATGTGAGGCTAAATATAGTAATGCTCACACCTTGAAAGATGTCAAAACTGACCCCCACCCTCCCACCCACAGCCCTTGCAAAAAGCTGAAGTAAATGGGTTTGTTCTCAAGTATAAGCTGATGAGCTCCAAGCTGTAGAATCCTGACAAGGGTGAGGGTAGGGTTATTGAGGAGGATAAGCAAAGTTTAGATTCTGAATGGTGAGTTTCCCAACTCCCTTCCCCTGGAAGATAAGGTCAAAGGAAATCTCTTTTAAATAAATAAAACAAACAGAAGACACAAGAGAAAACTGTGAAGGACCAAACCAGAACCAACTTTCAGCTGATAAGATCATCAGAAATATGACAGAAAAAAAAAAAAGACAGATGGAAGGGAGTGAGGATATAGGGAGAAAATGTGCAAAGAAATACACAAGAAATGTCCCAGAACTCAAGAAAATTAGCCAATATTTTTTGTGAATTGAAAGGAATCTTCCAGAAAACCTATAAGCTATCATCAAGATCAAGGATCACATCAGACTTCTAAGAGTACAAATGATCAGAAAATTAAGCAATGCTCTCAAAATTGAGAAAACAATTATTATGAACCTAGAATTTGTAACCAAACTACAATTAAATTAGGTAAAGACATTTTTCAGACATACAATGTTAAAAAAAAAATCCCATTCATTCCTTCTCAAAGCAAACTGGAGATTATGCAACACCAAAACAGAGGAAGTAAATCAAGAGGACCAAAGTTACAGGAAACCGAAAGTCTAACACAGAAAAGTAAAGGGAATCTCAAAACAATGATAATGGGGCAAGTCCTAGGAGCACAGCTGTGTAAGAAACAGGAACAGAAACCACTCCAGGCTGAAGCAGTAAGGCAAGAGTGCTTCAGAAGGAAGACTCTTAAAAAAAATGGTTTTTTTAACCTGGAGTTGATGGATTATGTGATCTATTTGATCACACTTGAGAGTTTATTGGGTAAAGAATTAGTAGTATATCATAGAAAACGAAACAAACCAAAAAATAAAGCAATTATTAACTCCAGAAAAAATAAAAACTACACAATAAAGGCAACTCAAATGCAAAAATATTTACCTTATCATTAATTATATAAACACTATATATCCATTTAACTAAAAGTTACAATAACAGAACTGGAAAAACAAGAGAAGAAATAAAAACATCTGTGGACAGGTCTGGAGGAACAGAGTAGAAAGCCAGTAGAAAGTGTCTAAAATGGGGGAAATAGATCAAGAAATAAAAGTATGCATGTATGTTATTCAGAAGTATGAAGTAAGATGCAAATGGTAAAATAAACTGAGAGCTGTCAAACTGCCTCTGAGGAGTAGGAATCAGGGGTGTGGAATGGGAAGCCAACTAGACAGAAATACAAGCCAATTACAGAAATCTAGAAAAACTAAACAGAAGCCATCTGGAAAAAGAAAAATTGAAGAAACACAAGTGACATTTTCAAAGGGAAAAAGCAGGTGTGAAGGAGTAGAAAAATGGCAAAACAAGAGGAGACAAACAAATGGGGAAGCCAGGGAAAATATGAGAGTATGGACCCATCACCACACTCCAGAACTTGGACGTCCTAGAAAAGCATGGTAGTTCACACATGGCCAGTCTCTGCCAAACTGGGAGCCAAGTAAATATTAATCTCTTTCTACTCTTCACAGAGGCTGTCTCTGCTGCCTCCACCATCTCCCTTCCAAGTTATCCAAAGTACCCTATTTTGTCATTTCACTTAGACCTATGTTTACCAAATATCTTGACAAATTCCAAAGTTACTCACTTGCTAATCAATATTCCACTGAAAATCCCCAGGTTCTAAATTAAATTACCCTTTGTTTGAAGAAAAACATCTGATTAAAATAACACTCCTTAAATGTAAAAAAGAGATGGTCATAATAACCAAGCCTTAATTTTGCCCCCAACCCTCTTTATTTGATGGAAAAGTTAGGTAGTTCGAAGAACATTCTAACTTCTGTCTAGACCAGTGGTTCTTAATCTTTGGGGGGCCAGGGTCCCCACTAACAATCTCATGAAAGCCCTAAACTTGCTTTAAAAAAAAAGTCATATCAATTTCAGGTGTACAGAAACCCTTAATAAGGTTCTGTTTTAGACTCAGGCACCACATTTATATTTATGACTATGCCAGCAGTTTGAAATTATAATCTGTATGTAAGTACCTATTCCTGTCCTCTGGAGGAAATAGGCTGTAACCTACTCCACTATTCCTAAAAGAAACTAAATCAGACCTATTACCAAAACCCTGCTGAGCCACCTATTGACTTTGGACAAGTATCTTTGATATCTTATTGGGTGTCAATATCCACAGGGTTTTGGGAGCACAAAATAGGACAACATATGCCTAGTATATGATACAAGATACAATTGTGTTGCTGATGGTCCTTGAGTTTGGGGAGTTTTTTTTTCTCCCCCCCCCACAAATTTTCACTTTTTTTCTTTTATTTTTTTTCAATTAGAGTTCACATTCAATATTATGTTAGTTTCATGTGTACAGCATGCTGGTTATGGGTTTTCTGATTGGCTCTGATTTGTTTTGTTTCTTCATACATCTTGATTCTCATAGGCCCTTGACCAGAACAGGTCAGAATGACAGTCTTTTAACACCAACATCTATTTAACGCTTACTATGTGCCAAGCATTACCCTAAATGTTTAATATGGATCATCTTATATTCTCCTATCAATACCATAACTCCATCTTATTGATGAAATAAGTTTAATTTGCCTGAAATCCCACAGCTTATAAACGGCAGAGCTATGATTCAACCACAGCAAACTGACTCAGATCCACCCTTAATATCTTTTTCCTCAACCTTTAAACCCAATCACTAAAGTTCTGTTGAAAAATACATCTAGCACATTATCTACCTTAAAAGAGGAAAAATGCCCTTGGGGCATGGGTTGGAAAGGTTAAAAATTTTAATCCATAGTAACAACGCCCTTTAAGAAATTTAGAATTCCCACGATTCCGTTTAAAAACAAAAAACAAACAAACAAACAAAAAGAGGCAAGTAAGTTTCCATACAATGCTTACAGTCAGGGAGTGGAGTGTGAGGAGTAGGGAGGAGAACCCGCCTCAAAACAGGGGAACTTTCCGTGTCATTTGTGCGATCTGTCAGGCAGTTGCAAATGTGGTTGCCCCTGCTCCGGGTCCCCTAGGACGCTTACGATGGTGACCAGTCAGAGCAGTAAAAGCCCACCCCGGAGCTGTGTCAGTCCCTGCTGGGCTCCACCAAACTCCAAGCCTGGAAGGTGCCGCCTCCGCAGGGCGAGTAACTGTCCAGGACACGAAAAGAACCCAGCCGGATATGGCTGCCGCCCAAGCCCCAGGGACCAGGCCGCACCGGCGGGGCCGAGGAACCCCGGGACAGGATGGGCCCGCGGGATGAGGGCAGTCGGGAGCGGGCCAGAGAAAGAGGAAGTGCTGGCGCCAACGGCCGACCGCCGCGGTCTCCCTCCCTCCCCCCGTAGCCTATTCCCCTAGAGCTCGGGAGCCCCACTCCGCCCACCGGGCCGCATAAGCCGGCCGGCGCCTCAACAGAACATGCCAAGGAGCGGCGGCGGCCGGGAGCCATGACGCCGGCGCCACGCGAGGCCGCGGCCGGGCCTGGGCGGAGGCCACCCGTCTCCCTAGAATCCGCTCACCTCTCGGGGCGACGGAGCGCAGCCCTGCACCGAGGCGATGTAGCGCTCCACCTCGGCCTTGCTGCGCCTCATGGCGCCGCCAACCTGGTCCCCAGGACACGAGAGGCTAACGCTGAGGCCCACAGCAGTGACCGTCTCCGGGAGCCAAGCGCCTGAAAGCCCGTGACGCAGCGCCGTCACGGGCAGAGGAGCGGGCCGCCCGTATGCGTATTGCGTCAGCACTCTGCGCCACGCCTACGGCGGCGGCGCTTCTGCCGCGGGCAGGCCACGGGCGGCCCCGCCTTGAGTTCTGTGCCGGGCCGTGCAAGAGCTCAGGTTAGTTTTCACCTGTCAAAGCGTCCGCAGTGGCCGACGTGGAAAGTGTTCATCGCCATGCAGGGGCCAAGGACTAGATGATGTTTTCACCTGATAGGTTCTCAAAAATTTGGGTCGTTCTTAATTAATATTACGCGGTGCTGTGGAAGTAAAAAGCATTCTCAGGCCATTTTGGTGAGCATGTTCCAATTTGGAACAACCTTTCTGGAGGTGATTAGTTAAATATATTATGTCGAACACGTGTAAATAGGAAGCATACATGTTAAAATTAATGCCTTTTTAAAAACATGATAAAAATTAAAATAATCTAAGAAAGACCACAAATACTATGTTTTTGGACGATTATAATTATATATGCATATATGTACATGTGTATATGAATGGCCCCCAAAGTTTATATTTCGGTAGCAACACAGGTTACACCAAAATGTTAACAAATGTTAACAGTAATTTTCTCAAGATGTTGAGCCATCTATACTTTCCAAATCTTCAAAAATGTTTACTTTTGGAATTTGAATTTTAAAATATTATTTTTAAACAAGTTTTATAAAATGTTTTCAGGGCCGGCCGAGTGGTGCAATGGTTAAGAACTGGCTTGGGACGCCAGAGGGCCCCGGTTTGGATCCCACATATGAGGGCCAGTGACACTGCCCTCCACAGCTAAGATGCTGAACAACAGCTCAACCTGGAGCTGGGCTGCTGTGAGTTGCTGGCGACGGCGTAGGCTGCAGCTTGCAGCCCCTGTGGCAGTGGGTTGCCATGGGCTACCATGTGTAGCCAGCAGCCAGCGTGAGCGGCCAGCAGCCAGCGTGAGCGGCCAGCAGCCGCAGTGAGCGGCCGTCCAGAAGCCGGCGACTGATCTGCCTCGCCTGGGAAGAGCGCAATGATGGTGCCAACTTGGGCCAGTGAAGCAGTGTCCTCCACAACTAGACTGAAGAACAAAACAACAGCAATTTGTCTGTTCCCCTTCCCCTAATTCCCCAGCGCTGTTCCCATCCCCCCAATCCCCCAATAAAAAATCTTTAAAAAAAAAATGTTTTCAGTGGAGAAGACTTTTTAGGTTTAAAAAAGATAATATCTGTGTACATAGTAGGGTTTTAATTATCTGGGAAAATATTAAACAAATGAAATATGTTGAAATTTTTAACTGGAGGTTTAGGATGTTTTATTTATGGATAACTTTTATCCTTTTTGACGTTCCCATATTTTCCAAATTTTCAACCATGAACAAGTGTTGCCTTTATAAAGAGAAAAATGCAGCATTTTGTTTTGTTTTATTTCAATCATATTGAATGTGAATAAGAGAAAAGGAAATGATGATTCCGAGGTTACTAATGTAACTGACATACGTTAACAGAAATAACACATGAAGCGATTCTGGTTTGGGATAGAAATCCTATTTTAGGTAGTTGATTTATTTCCCTTGAGGTACTCTTTATATATCCAAGAAGAGATGCCTACTAGGTAGATGAAATAATAAGACCAAGATCTGTGATGGACCTGGAAGTCATAAGTCTCAGGTGATAGTTGAAACCAGGAGTTTGCCTTGGAAAGAGTGTTAGTAATAATAGCCATAGCTAATAAGTAAGCCCTTCCTCTGTTTCAGGTCCTTTTGTTAGCACATTACACATGTTAACTCATTTAATTCTCCCAACCACTTTGTGAGGATACTATTATTTATTATTATCCTCAGTTTTACAGATAAGAAAATCAAGAGAGTGAGCAGAAAAGCAACTTTTCTAAGCACACTTACCTAGGAAAATTAATCGAAATTGAATCTACTAAAAAGGAGTGGGCCAAAGAGAGAACTTACTTGGGGAACCTAAAAGACTTTTCTTAAGTACATTTATTAAGCTTTAAAACCTCAGTTTTCACCAAATGGGACTATGAGTCTGTCCTTCGGGGCTTTAAAAATGGACTTTCTTCTCCCGTGATGATATCCATTCTAGCCCTCATTCCTTCCCAACACAGACTAGTTCCATCCAAACCTATTCTCACAAGTGAGGGAATATCCTTCCCTCAAATCACATCTAACTACGTATAACGTTCTCTACAAAGAACTCCTTACCAGTAGGATGAATTCCACCCTAAAGGCTCCATCGCTAATACTGATGCGTTGCAAATTCAATTCAAGTAAGTTGAACCCATAGAAGTATCTAGCTTGTGATGTTTTTTATCAGCAGCAGTTTTACCTGATTAATCTGAGTCCTCAACTTCTGAATTAATTGAACTAACAGGCATTCAACATCGATGCTGATCAAACTGGAGTTCTTTTCATCTCCTCGAGTACCTTTATGCTCTGTTGCTGATTATCATCCATTGCAGACACATTATCTTTCACATGTCACGTGATCTTGTTTCTTCAGAATCATTCATACTGTCATTTCATCCCAACATTTTCTCAGCACTCCCAAATTGTATGATTCTATAGTAATTCTAAATTACTGCTTTGTAGGTAGCACTTTGACTATTCTCATGGCTTTTGAACTCAGTAGACCTGATGAGATTAAAATGTTCATAAATAAGTTCAAGGCAGGCCAAGTGGAGCGTTGGTTAAGAGCTGGCTTGGGACACCAGCCCTGAGCAGTTCGGATGCACATGAGGTCCAGTGACGCTGCGCCTTCTACAGCTAAGATGGTGAACAACAGCTCAACCTGGAGCTGAGCTGCCATGAGTCGCTGACGACAGTGTAGGCTGCAGTGAGGCTGCAGTGGGCTGCAGTAAAGCTACCGTGAGTGGCTGGCAGCGGGCATGAGCTGCCAAGAGCTGCTGCGGCTGTCCAGTGGCGGCGACCAATCTGCCTCATCCGGGAAGAGTGCAATGATAATACCAACATGGGCCAGTGAAGCAATGTCCTCCACAACTAGACTGAAGAACAAAAGGACAGCAACTTGGCTGTTCCCCTTCCCCAATTCCCCAACGCTGTTCTCTTCCTCCAATTCCCCAATAAAACCTTAAAAAAAAAATACAAGTTCAGAAACCAGACAGCACATTACCACTGACATTATCTTTTGTTCTTGGGCATATTTAAGTTGTTCTAAAACTTTTGCCTTGATTGCATCTCTGAAAATAGAGGCTTTTGAACTTACTGCTCTTGATGTCCATAACCTAGACTGCCTTTCAGGTACAGAAACGAGTCTTTCACCCATCAGCTGAGGAAGGATTTGGAGCTGTCACAACCCTGCCTGGAATCACATGAGGCAGAGCTTGCACAAATCATAAATTAAGGAATATACACATATGTTTATGCATTTGTGTGTGTGTGTGTGTGTGTGTATATATATATATATATACACACACACACACATGTATGCAATTGAACCCCCAAATCAGTGCTAATATAATGTGCTAATATAACATGACCCAACATGTAGTTTAAAATTTTCTAGAAGTCACATTTTAAAAAGAAAGGAACAGGGGAAATTCATTTTAATAATTTTTTATTCAGCCCAATATATTTAATTGCAACATTCAATTAATATAATCAAAATGTTAATAAACATTATTTTTTTGTACTAAGCATTCAAAATATGTGCATTTTACACTTACATTTTAATTCAGATGCTGTTTTTTATCAGAAATACTTATATGTTTAGATTTCATAAAATTTTAGGTTGAAAAAATAGATTCATATACCCAAGTTGTTCCAAACATACTTAAAAGTTGTTAATAACAATTGAATATCAAATTTTAAATTTAATTAAAATTAAGTCAAATTAAAAATTCAGTTATTCAGTAGCACTGGCTACATTTCAAGTGTTCAGTTGCTATATGTGTCTAGTGTATTGGACAGCACAGCTCTATATAATTCTATTGCTTGTTGTTCAGACATTAAACTTAAAAAAAGAACAGGTTATAACACACAATACTACCTGTAGCAGTCAATGTGGCTGAAGGAAAATCCAAAAAGCACAGAGTTCCAGAAGCTAAAAAGAGCATTAAAGAGAGAATGATCAACAGCATAAAATGCTGCAAAAAGATCAGGAATGATGACTGAATAAAACTTTCTAGACTTGCTTACTAAAAGTTGATTTTTGAAAGAAATGGTACAGGCAAAAACCAGCTTGCAAATGGTTAAGGAAAGGAAGCCATAAAGTAATGATTACTTTTTTAAAATAGGGAGAACTGATGTTGGTATTTTCAGTAAATAACCATATGGAAACAAATGCCCATTTGGGGAGCATATAGTTTCATGAATTTTAAGGCATGTATAGATTCATGTAACCACTACCACAGTCAGGATACAGAACAATTCCATCATCCAGAAATATTCATATTACTACTTTATAGTCATACTCTTCACCACTGATCAGTTATAGTTATGTCTTTTAGAGGAAATCATATGAATGGAATCATACAGTGTATATATAACCATTTGATAATGGCTTCTTTCAGCATAATGCCTTTGGAATTCATCAAGTTTTTGCATATATTAATAACTTACTATTCATCATTGCTGATTAATGATCCATGGCATGAATATACTACAGGTTTATCCATTTACCAGTTGTAGGGCATTGGGTTGTTACCAATTTTGAGTGATTACAAGCAGAGCTGCTATAAACACTTGTATACATATTTTTCAATGAACACGTTTTTATTTCTCTAGAGCAAGAGTTGACCAGCCTGTGGGCTGGCTTCCTGTTTTTGCAAATAAAATGTATTGCAACAAGCCATGCCCATTCATTTACATATCGGCTTAAGGCTATCTTTTGTACCCCAATGACAGAGTTTAGTTCTGAGACTTATGCATATGAAATCTGACAATTAAGTTCACGAACTTGTTGCACAGATGTTGCTAACCTTTTTTTTAATTTTTTTTTAAATTGGGGAATTGGGGGGATCGGAACAGGGCTGGGAAAAACAGGG